CATATACAAAGTTTTGTTGTAAATCATAAATACATAAATAATGATATTGTTTAAATTCACACATACTTTAATAGTTACAAAAGTGTAAATTATAACAAGTATTTCTAATATGATCATGTTGACAACCTCATAAGATATGATGATTTGGACTATGTCGATTTTGGTCACTCACAGTCGGGGTGCTAATAACGAAAGTCTTTAAATCAAAACAATCGGGAATTATAACGAAGTCCCGAATATAAATATGCTAATACACACTGGGATGAGGTTGTATGTAGTATGAATACTGTTTGTAGATTGTTAAAATGATTGTTAGTGTCTATCTATACAAACACTAAATATTTTTTGCTTCTCAAAAATATGTTAAAATTTTACTTTTATTGTAAGCAGGTAACATGGGTACTCATACTAGATTTCAAGTATCGGCTCTCACACGAAGCATGTCGGTAATATTATCAACCATGTTCTGCATAACTTATTTTGTTAAACATTCCACGTTTTATAATTTTTTTTATGAAACTCACGGAGTCAAAACCTGTGGAACTCACCAACAATTTTTGTTGACATATTTTAAAAATGTGCATTCTTAGGTAATTAAGGAGCCAGAGGTAGGACATCGGTTCTAAGGAAATTATAGTTCCTTTCTTTTGGGGATAATCTTGAACTGTTTTATTTACTGTTGTGTGTTTAAACTATGAATATATAATTCCAATTCCAACACTTTAAGGTTTGTAATATATTGATTTAAATATGTTAAGTGTACGATATATATGGTTGACTGTGATCCAATTGTTATAACGTTGCAACCCCGGCGATTTCTGCCTAGGTCGGGGTGTGACATCTTCCATGTCCACTTCTATTTTTTGTTTTGCCCCTCTCTTCCATATTGAGTAAACTAGTGGAAACTTCTCCAAACATCTTCACCAAGAACCAGATCTCTGATGCTTTTGAATGTGAGTTTCGTAGTTCCTGAAGAGCTACTGACTGTAGTAACAATTCCATATTAGCTTTCGGGCTATGAAGATAATAATAATAAAGTCTGGACTTCATCTTCGAATTTAATTTCAACAGATCCTAAACTGGATATTATCGAGTTGAGCTCAATAGTGTGGTCCGTCACAAACGCTCCTTCCTTCATCTTTGTGTTTAGCAATTGTCTGACAAGAAAACCTTGTTTGTTGCAGATAAATTTTCATACACGGTGGACAACGCCTATATCAATCTAAACATGGTATTCTCATCGACGATGTTATACGTGACATTCTTCGCCGGTGATAATCTGACACCAAGGGCCTATCAGTCCAGAAAGTTCCATTTGGCCAGATCCATCTTCTTAGGTTTATGTTCAGATAACAGTAAGTATAATTTCTTCTGATATAAGTAATCCACACTCTGCATCTTCCAGAATCCAAAATCATGGTCTTTAAATTTATCGATCTTCACCTTCCCGTCTTCAGTCATAGCTCTGATACCAGTTGTTAGGTAAAAAACAAATAATAAACAGAAATAGGTCTGAAGAATATGAAAAAACAGAAAAACAAAATCAAAACACATAAAAAACTGAGATTTAAGTGATTCACACTATCTTGCGATATGTTGCATCTACTGCGGAACTAGAGAGAGAGAGAGAGAGAGAGATTTCATTCCACACACATTTTTTCTGCTACAATATTTAAGATACGATAATTCATAAATATATAAATAAGAAAATTTGACCCAAATATCGTGTTTTGGTTGAACGATCAACCCTCTTCATAAATATTAAGTGTGCATCTCTGTTGTTTGATGCTTCTTCACGACGTGGGGGGAAGAGACCATCATCCCTCGGTGTTGGTTGAATGAAGGTGAAGATGATTATGATTAGACAACATGGATTCCATATCCAATAGCTTTATAAACTTCAACTCAACGGTTAGTCTTCTATTATGTCTAAAATATATAGTCAACTAATGGAATGAAATTGATGCCGAAAGGATCCAAACAAAACGTAGGGTAGTGGTGGTGGGTATGTCCCGTGACCCATGGTACCGTGATTGATGCCAATTGCCCCATCAAGATTTCTTCCCCTTCACTTCACACACACATACACTTTACACCCCTACACTTTCCCCTTCACTTTGGCTATAGTGCTATACCCCACAAACCCTCTTCGTATTGTCCTTTTTCTCCCTCTTAAAACCATCTCAATACTACCAAATGTCATATTTGCCCCTTCCTTATTACCCCTCTACTTCATTCTTCATATAAATAACTTCATCTTCCATTCAAAATCATCACACACGTTCATTCCAGTGACAAAAATGCATCAATCCATTGACTGGTTTTCTTGGCTATCAAAATCCGGGCTTGAACCTTCACTTATTTACGAATATGGTATGGCTTTCTCTCGAAACGAGCTTGAAGAAGGCGACATAACTTACTTCAACCATGAATTCCTTCAAAGCATGGGGATCTCCATAGCCAAACACAGGTTAGAAATACTGAAACTTGCTAGAAAACAAAAAGGTTCACTTGGGTCACACACACACCCAATTTCAAAGCTCATCATCGCCATGAAAAAGACCAAAAGGACCTTGGCTAGCTACATCCAGACATGGGTTCGCCGGGATGAGTCAGCTCTGGTTCTCGTTAGTAAAAGTTATGGTTGGAAAGGTACGATGTTGAGAAGACACAAGAGATCGATGACCTTCAAACAAGCTACTCCTCCTACTCTTTTGCTCACTAATAGCTACCATAAGTCCGATAGTGCTAGAATCAACAACTTTGCGAGTCCTTTGGTTTATGATCTCCGGTATGATCAAGGAAAAAATGATGGTTACGATGGCGATGATCATGAGAAGTATGATGAAGAAGACGATGGTGGTTACTGGTCTGGAGGTGGGGGTGGAGGTGGTGTTCAAGAGATTAGATGGGACACCATGTTTCAGAATTTGAAACCTACTTGAGATCTAATAGCAATCATCTTCTTCCCCTATTACCCTCTTTCTTTTCTGTATTTTTTTTTAAAATGAATTATTAGAAGAGTTAATGGTGAGATGGATGCTATTTTTTAATGTTCTTCCACCACTGTCAAGTGTGAAATCTTGCTTTGAAAGAAAAGTACAGCTCTGAATTGTTTTTCTCTGGTGAAAGTCGTAATTTACTTTTAGCAAAGTTAAGCATGCTAACCCTTTTGGGGGTATTCTTGGGATTGATAAAGGGTTATAGTTTATGTAATAAAATTGTATCAAATTAATTAAATTTGGAATCTTTTGATATAAAATTTAATGACGACATATATGGGTAACACTATGTCATCTGCATAACACTGGGCTAATGTTTTTATTGAATCTCCGAGCTCTATAAAGTCGGTATCTTTTATTATGATGTACCCATTTATCAGCTATAACCGGTTTTTCGGTTTTCCATCACTAGGCAATCCTACGAGAGAAGAACCTTGTCCCAAACAATCCAACAATCAAAAAGAAATCTTAAATATGTTTTATCAATATTAAATGAAGTTGAGAGCGATTGCAAGAATGGCTGCATCTATCAAGTCAGCCTTAAAACCGGTTATAGACTCTAAATTGGAACCCAAAACACAAAGTTTTAATTACTGTCGCAAAATAACCACTTAATTCACTAATTTTTCTCGAAGAAGTTCACTAATATAAAAGGTATATACCCAATTGAAACCATTTCCCATATTCCATGTCATTGTAACCCAAACATCCTACATGTTCCTTTACTTAGAACTCAATATATGGCATCATGTTCCTTTTTCTCAACTTAAGGAAATTAAAGACGACAATGTTGCATTGTTAGGTTATTTATTGCCAGAGCCCGACAATATCATATACCGACCAAAGAGCTTATAGTCCAACAGTGTTGGTGGAAATTTATCCATTAGCCAAATGTTGAGAATTCAAGTCTTAATGAAAACAAAAAAATAAATAAATATAGAACTAATATGATGCCTATGTTTACCATTTAATAAAATAACAAACAATGATGCATAAATGATATATTTAGTTACTCATATACTTTAATGAGATTATACAATTTAGTCAAGTCAACCCATGCTTTTAAATCTATGATTAAAATTACACCGGTCCAAGGGCAAGAGGTAGACATACTTATTAGTCATGGGGTCCTTTTACCTTTCAGCCATGGAAGTTTGGCTGCTACCCATCAATTCCTAATTTAAAATCTCATAATTCAACACAAAATAACAATATTATATATATAGCATCCGTATGCAAAACTGCACATCAAATTACAATCCCTGATGCACAGGGGACAATCAAACTTCAACACCCCCCCACCCCCAAATTAAACACAACACCATACCACTTACCCAGTTTAAAATTGGGCTCATGCTACATGACTATATGTCATCACTACTACAAAATAAACATAGTTGTTCAATTATACATCACCATTAAATATTAAACTCAGATTAGGTTAACCTGTAACTTTCACAATCACTATGCGCAAACATAATGTCAACTCAGATTAAACCCTAATCTTCAATGTCCAGCACTTTGAGGCAAACGAAACGACCCACCCGCATAAAGCATTTGGTAAACGGGTCGAATTCTGATGGTTAAAATCAAGCTCAAAATTGTACTTATACAACAAACACCAGCAAGAACAAGGAACGTGAGCCTGAAACAATTGGGACCCATGCAGGTGGACCCACCTTGTTTAGCTTCTTCTGTGTCAAAAACATAACCTGCAAGCATTCCTGAGAATAAAAGAGCACCAATTGGGTTTCCTAACCCCATGAAGTTGAAGATTAAACCGAAGTTTTTTAACCCAAAAAGCTCAGATGATGTGGGAATCATAACACCAAATTGAGTACCATAGCAGATTCCAAGTAAGGCTGTTGCAATATAAAGTGTTCCCTTTAGAGCTGATGCGTATAGAAGATATGTTATCACCATTATCACTTGTGTTATCATCATCAAAAATGTTCGTGGAATCGTCTTCCACCTGAAAAAAAAAATTAGCAGGTTGGATTGAGATTTTCAACTCGTTTAATTTAACAGAGTAATCTGAGGAAACCTGTTAGTTTTTTACATGAAATCAATCGGCCAACTCGTTTAATAATAGATATTTTTTTAATGTAACATTTAATTAGTAGTCATGTTTTGAAACTTTGAATAATTATTTGGTTTTATAACGTATTTAACCAAGTCGAAACTTATTTTTAAGTAAAGTTTAAATTTTAAACGGGATAACCCAGGTTATCCTGTTTATCCAAGTTGGATAAAAAGTAAACATGTTAACCTTTGGGTTAACCTGTTTATCTAACGGATCAGGTTGAGTTAAAATAACTCAACCTGATTATTTTGTTGGGTTGGAAAAAACTGGTATCAACCCGAACCAATCCAACCCAACCCATTGCCAACTCTATTCTTAAAGCACAACAAATTTCTGCTTTCACCGTAAATGTCAATGTCCAACATCAGCTAAACACAGTCTCATCTGCAACAGTTAATATGCAAAAAGGAGTCTTATCCTTTTGGATAAAAGATTTTACCTTACAAAATATTCTGAAACAACGCCACCTCCAAGCCGGCCGAGAAAATTGCAGAAACTAAATAAACTCAAAAGTGTAGTCGTATCATTAAACCCAAGGGAAACACCAATCTGAGCCAAATTATTAAGAACAGTAACACCAGATCCAACACCAAAAAAATAAACCAACCACAAAAGCCAAAAATCCGCCTTCACAATCGCCTCACGAAACGTAAAATCCTCCCCTCTTCTCGGCCTTCTCTTCTTCTTAATTCTCACAGCCCCTTCCCCCACAGCAAGAAGCGCATCCACCTCAGAAATATCTTCACCATCATTAATCTTCTCAAGATTCATATCAGAATTCGATGGTGTCAATGTCAACAACGGATCATTCAAAACCGTAGAACTACCAGGCCGAGTAAGCTTCTTGTTAGGAAACAAAGTCATTTTAATTGGAATTGCAAGAGGTGCTAGTAAAAGCACCACCATTATTCCAATAAAAGTGTAGGAAATCGTGTTACTTAGATGCACAACGTCTTTTAGTATCGTGGTTGTGAGAAGAAAGACTGCAAGCACAACACTTGCTAATTGGGTGAAGAGAAAATGCGCGTTTTCTGATGGGTCTGCTTCGGAGGGAGTACATGCGCGAATGTAATACATTAGGGCTAAACATATGAATGGGATACCGAGTGTTAAGAAGAGTAGTAGTGATGATGCGGATCCTTTTAGCACCATGGTGTAAACTTCTGTGACAACTGCAGCACTTAGGCCTACGTAGCCTTTGAGAATGCCTGCAACTGTGCCTCTGCTTAGAGGGAAGTTTCTCATGTTGGTGACGAGGACAGCTGTCCCTAACCATGCACTGCTGTTGGTGGCAACAGCAAGCGCGATCCATAACTGCATAGTATGAAAGGTTATGTTTCTTTTTAGATTTATATGTATATTTGTATTGTGTAAAGGAGAGAAAATCTAAAACTCAACATATCTTACTAATATGGTATCAGAGCAAGTTAAGTGTTTTTTTTTTCCATTAAGTCATATATAGATGAAGTGGTTGAATTGATAATGATGTCCGCTTGAATGAGAGTATGAGACTAAATGAGTGTTTTACAGTTAGATTCTAGAAAACAAAAGTACAACATTCATCAATTTTATCGCAAAAGGAGTTAGCAAGTGGAAAAAAATATTTAAAAAAAAAAAAAAAAAAAACTAAGGGGTAAGCAATTTCTATATGTATGTATGCTCTATGCGTGTAATAGTGTTTGTATATTCTGAGATGACTATTTATGTGAGTAAGAGTATATATAGCACAACCCTAACTAAAAAAAATAGTGATGTATGGCTGTACTAATTAAGTAACTAACTTAGTGACCCACATCATATCAGGTAGACACGACTCTACCTGTCTAATCCGTCTCTTAGGCTATGTTTAGCGTACTAGCTGAAAAGCTAGCTGATAAAAAATTACGGTAAAACTAGTTGAAAAGCTAGCTGAAATGTATAAAATTACATAAAAGGATGTGTAAGATTATGTGTTTTTATAATTAATTAAGGTGTGTATTTGAAATTTTTTTTAAAATACTCATAAAAAACTAATCTTTTAAAAAAGCTAGCTTTTTGGCTTACCAATCTATAAACCCTCAAAAAATAAGCCAGCTTATTTGTGGAGAGCGAAAGACAGCCTTAATATCAAGGCTCTTTCCAAGAGAAAATTTATTAATTTAGGACCCAACGTATCTAATTTTAGTTAACTATAAGTATCTTATCATCTCTCTCTTTAGTATTTTGATGAACATCATAGAACATAAGAATTGCAAAAATCAAGATGCATAAAAATAGTAAAATACCATTGTTAAGGTCAAGAATCATATTTCTAAAGTCTAAAGGCAAATCGATCAAGAAGGGTAGGTAATTAAGAACACGTCTTTCAAAGATGAAGGTAAAAAAGAAAAAGTAAAATACTTACAACCCAGTAAGGCACGTTGTGAACAGTTTCACTAACAGCAAGCCAAATGGCACCATAACCAAAGAAAGAAGCAAAAACACCGATCAAAAGAACAACCCACGGTGGGTATTTGTTAGAAGCAATGCCCGGAAGTATACCAACATTTTCCCCAAAATCATTAGCAACACCGAGAATTGTAAGCTGCTGCTGAGAAAGACCCAGTACAGATTTTAGAGCGTGGGAGTAAAGAGGGAAAGTGTAGGCGTTGCCGGAGGCGATCTGAACCCAAACAGCGGCGGCAAGACCCACCCACGGCGGCCGGCTTCCTGCTTTTAGGGCCGGCATAGTGTGTATACGCCGTTTGATTCAGATACTGTATGTTTGCTAAATTAGTCACAAATAACTGGAAGAGAGAATCGATTAGGGTAGTAGGTGTACAAGAACTATACCATAATTAGGTATAATGAGAATTGAGAAGAAAAACGACAGACAGAAAGGTTGGATTTAGTGGGTGGGTAAGGGCCTATTTAGTACAAGGCGTGATAAAATTGTCGACAATCGTTCAATCTGTAACAAGTAGCTATCAAAACCCAAAAGATTCATGGTAGGAAGGTCTGTGGTTTGGAATTTGGACAAAATAGACAGATTAAATTATTATTATTCTGTATATTTTTAACTAATTAGTACAATAGTTTATTATTATTATTATAGTACTTTATGAAATTTAATTATTTAAAATGTAAAAAAATAAATAATAATAGTAAGGTAAAGAATATTTCCTCAATACGTAACTATAAAAAATGACTAAAGAACAAGTTTGATTTATAAAATAGGTAAAAATATTTAATAAAATAATGTAAATATTTTTATATTGTTTGCAGTTGGCAAGTATTGAATTGAAATAAAGATAATTAGGTAATACTATATTTAATCAAAAAATTATTTTATGTGTTTATATAACAGCTTAGAGGATGAAAACTAATTTTAACAATTCCGGAAAACTAATCCATTGTGTAACCAATTTAAACACCTAGTGAATATTTAAAATAATGTATAAAAGAATCTTGTTAAAAGTCGCTGAGTTTTTTAAAATTTCACACAATACTATGTAAAAAATTAAATAATGTTGAAAACACTTCAAAAATAAATAAAAGATTTATATGTAAACTTGCATTGTCTAATGGAGAGAAAATCTAACACTCAGACAATATGACTAAGATATATCAATGTATTTTTTTCCATCAAGTTCAGTAAAGTGGCTGAATGGCTAGTGATATGATAAAATGTTGTTATATACATAATGTTTTCTTTTCTTTTTATTTGACCAAATATATAAAACGTATGAATGAGAGTAAATTACCGTTTTGCTGTTATATTCTAGGAAAAAAAACACTAGTTACAATAATTGTCGCAAATGAAATTTAGAGGGGAAAAAGTAAAATATGTAAGTGTTAGTGTCTTAATACATAAAACAAGGTTTTTTTGCTTAAACCAATAAGATATTTTGTCTAAGTTAAATAAAAACAAAACAATTATGTATAGATGTCCGGATTAAGTGTTTCACCTAATTGACACACATCAGCTACACATGACTCTACATATCCAATGTGTCTGTGTATGTTGGAGTTTAACAGAGCTCTTTTTTAGGAGGAAACTTTGGACAACATATATAATTTTAGTTTAATTATAAAATCATGTTCCAAGAAAGAAGATACAAATTTAACTGAAAGTTACATCATAGGGCCCAGGAATTGCAAGACAATCTAGACATTTTGAATTATAGAAAGCAACAGGATGCATAAAATTTTTTTAAGGTCAAGAATCATATTTTTAAAAATCTATAGGCAAATCGATCAAGATTGGTAGGTAAGTAAGAACAAAGTTTTTCAAAGATGCAGGTAAGGTAAAGAGTAAATTACGTAAATTGCTTCTCGTGCAGGTATCAAAAAAAATGTTCAGTCTTGTTTTTCAAAAAATAATTTGAACTGTACCTCGTTTGTTTTAAATTTGCACGCTTCATCTCTCATTAGTTTAAATTTGCAAAAATCATCATTTGCCCTACATAAAATGGTTATATTACCCTTCTTGCTTTATTTTGTATTTATTAAAAAATAGAAAATAAATTCATACCATTTTTCACATTTATTAATAAATTTTAAACAACTAAACTTATCACGCCCTACCTACCCCACCCATTTATCTCCATTTCCATATTATCCATCTTGGTGACGAACTCACTCCCCATAAAATCAAAATGCGGCCACCGACCCACAACAATCTCCTTTTCAGTGTATCTCCCATAATCCTCATCATTCTTTAAACCAAAATCTTGAGTGGAATGGATTCTTCGTTCACTTTAACATCTTCAGTGACATCATGGTGGATTACATGAGCCCGTCGTCGAAAAAATAACATCATCGGATACTTTTATAGTGGAGCAGGATTATTTGAATCTTCTTGTATGGCTCACAAATCCAACATCTTCTTCTGTCGGCACAACTACCATAAGTGTCAATCATAATCTTCTTTCTTCTCCTGCACCTTATGGGTTCTAATTTGCAGGTTTATGGTTTAGTTAGGTTTGATTTGTTGGTTTAAGGTTTGATTTTCAAAGTGATTATAGGATGGAAATGATTTGTTGAATGAGGAATAACATCAATCGTAGTCGGATGTTCAAATCACTCGCTTGAACTTATCAAGGTCCGAATGCAATTATAAAAGATGGGTATCAGATTAATCGTCGGTGGGATCGATGCCACTATAAGGAACCCAACCAGTTATACAATGTCGTAACTACAAAAGTGTGGTGCACAGGAGCAGACACATGATTTCGTAGTAGGTGTTGCTGATGACGTTTTTTGTACGTAGTGACACAATAGTAGAAAAAACAAAAAATTCGGAATTTTTTACACTACGTCCAAAAAAACAACAAGGGTCGCTAGTGCCACTATGGGCACCATAGTGGAATCGCCGCTGGTAATGGATACGATATCACAGATCGCGAAAAGCAATGGGATCGAAAGCGTTTGACGTAGATCATCGCTGACTGTGAATCACTTTATTCAGGTTTGATTTTAAGTTTTAGTTGATCAATTTTTGGGGTGCCACTGGATCTTGAGGGAGGAAAGGGTGGGATGGGTTCAATGGTGGTTAGACGTGAGAAACAATAAAGAGTGAGGGATCTTTGGAAAATCTTAAGTGAATCACCAACAATGTTTATCTGGCGGTCCACCGGTTACGTTGTAAAACTCGTCGAGTTGGTCGATTATTTGGTCGAGTTCTCTTTAGTAGGCCCTTTACCGATTGACCCTTACTGAAACGATGTGATTAATATGTATAATATACTTAATGATTTATTATTTAACACAAATATTATATATATATATATATATATATATATATATATATATATATATATATATATTAACAACCTTAATATCAACTATTACAAATAAAAATAAATGAAAAAAGGAATTGATAAATGTAATATAGTTATTTCAAATTAACAGGGATTAAACGTGAAAAAAAATAAAATAAAATAAAATAATCATTAAAGTTAATTTTTAAAAATAAAAATCAAATATACGTTTTTTAAAGAAAAAAAAAAAAAAAAACTTACAAACCAGTAAGGCAGGTTATGAACAGTTTCCGTAACAGCAAGCCAAATCACACCATAACCAAAGAAACAAGCAAGAACACCGATCAAAAGAACAACCCACGCTCGGTATCTGTTAGAAACAATGCCCGCAATGATACCAAAATTTTCCCCAAAATCATTAGCAACACCGAGAATCGTAAGCTGTTGCTGAGAAAGACCCAGTACAGATTTCAAAGTGGGGGAGTAAAGAGGGAAAGCGTACGAGTTGCCGGAGGCGACCTGAACCCAAACAGCGGCGGCAAGACCCACCCACGGCGGCCGGCTTCCTTCTTTCAGGGCCGGCATAGTGTTTATTCGCCGTTTGATTCAGATACTGTATGTTTGCTAAATCAGTGACAAGGAACTGGAATAGAGAATCGATTTGGTAGTAGGTGTACATGAGCTATACCATAATCAGGTATGATGAGAATTGAGAAGATGAACGACAGACATAAAGGTTGATTTAGTGGGTAAGGGCCTAATTAGTACAAAGGTGATGAAATTGTCGACTTCGATCTGTGAAGAAATAGCTATCAAAACTCAAAAGATTCATGGTAGGAAGGTCTGTGGTTTGGAATTTGGACAAAAAAGGCAAACTAATTTATTACTATTATTCTGTAAATTTGTAACTAATAAAGATATTACTTTATTATTATTATATTACTTTATGAAATTTAATCATTTAAAATGTAGAAAACATAAAAAATAATTATAATAATTAAGATAAGAATATTTGTGAATACTTTAGCTATAAAAAAATTATTAATAACAAGTTTTTTTTTTTTTTTTTTTATTTTATAAAATAGGTATAAAAGTATTTAATAAAATAATATAAATACTTTTGTATTGTTTGCAGTTTGCAAGCATTTAGTTAAGATGAAATGAAAGATAATTAGGTAGCACTATCTTTATTTGTAAAATTATTTTATGTATTTATAAAAAATTTAATGGAGTAGAGCTAATTTTAACAATTTGGGAAAACTAATTCTTTTTGTAGCCAAATTAAACACACAGTGACAATTTAAATAATGCATAAATAATTCTTGTTAAAGTCACGAATTTTTTTAAAATTCACACAATATTATGTAAAAAATTAAATATTGTCGAAAACGCTTCGAAAATAAATAAAGATACATAGTTGATAGAGCAACAATATGGTAGTCAATAAGTTCTGTGTATTTCTTAAAACCGTATATCTGCTAAAGTTATTTATAAATTGATGTTGAAGTTTTAGTTTAGATTTTTTTTATGCCAATACGTATCTTCAGAAAAAAAAATCAAATTAAAAACCATATAATGTGCGTTGTTGTCATGACTCGTGACTTTTTTTGGTAAAAGAAAAAAACAACGAAAAATGTCGGTTTTTTCTATACCATTTCCACATATTTAAATATTAAAGTATAAAAAAAAACAAAATAAAAAAGAGCCAATAATACATAAAAGAAAAAGTCTATATGCGATGCATAATAACACATTGTTCGTCATGTTAAATATGTTTGAAAATCTCAATCCAGTCTAACATTTTAACAAGTAAAAAAAGTTAATACACAATCCGACTATTTACTAAATGGGTTGAAGCTGGGTTGATTTTATATGTTTTCAATAGCCCAAATAATAATGGATTAAACATTAAAGATTTAAAGATTAAAGAATATAGTGGTTTGGAAGTGAAATGAAAGAAAAGGAGAAGGGTAAAAGGCTTAAGACGACTGGGGTTTACATTCTGTTCCCGAGTTTAATAACGAAAAAAAAAAAAAAAGAGAATGTAAACATATATTATATTTCACTGTTCAAAGAAAGGGAGGGGATTGAAGTAGTTTGATGATCGACAAAACAACACGAGCGCCATTTACATGATTATATAGGCTACATAATCAAAAGACTTCTAGTATGAGGTGTTGTTTTTTATTCTTAAGGTTTTGAGGGTATAAGGGGTTGTTTGATTTCCCTCTGATTAGGTCCATTCAGAGCTTTTATCTGATCCGGTCCGAATCGACCCGTTTGATAAAAAAATATTTTCTCTTACTCGGTCAATCGATGGTTGATCAATGGCTTACCGAGTCCGTGAAAAAATAATGGTTGACCGAGACAAAACCCTTCTTTTCCTATATTGCCCTTCTCACTTGCAAACATTTTCTTCCTTCAACCTCACACTCTGTTCCTTCTGGCCTTCCACATCGCTCCTCTTTCAACAATTGTTTATTCCAATTTGATCTAATTTACAGGTTTGCGATTCTCATCTCTGCAAAATCGATTTTTTAAGCTGTGTTGAAATCGATTTTTAAGCTGTGTTGAAATTGATTTTTTATGATTCAAAGGCCAGTTCTTACGATCAATCCTGTAAAACTCTACTCCATAGATGATATCTTGGATTGAGAAATTACCAATTAGTAAAACAAAAAGAAGGATTGAGAAAAGATCAGGGTCTCTGTTGGGATTTGATCGTAAGAACTGAAGAGATTGGAGAAGAGAGGGCCTGATTGTGAAATAGGAGGCATATTTATGAAGAAATGAGAAAAAAAAAGATGTGATTCTTCTTGAAGAATTGAAATGGGGTTTAGTGATGATGCTGATGAAATAGGATTGTTGGGGACGAGTTTGGTTTTGTAGAGGTGTTTTGGGGGACGAGGGAGCTCTAGAAGGGGTACTTTATGTTTAATATATGTTTTAAATTGTTGATATACCATGAATCTTCTGATTATGATTTCTATTTTCACTTCAATGACACATTACATGCATTTATGCTTACAAATTCATTCTGCTATAGCCCTTCTGCTGTGTAATCAGATTGGGGGAAAGACAAAAAAGATAGAAGCATTATTAGAGGAGATGGGGATTATTGCATCTTCTTAGCCGAGAAAGGAAAAAAAAAACTAAACTACCCTTATTATGCCTTCATAGTTTGTAATTATAATTATACAATGTTTATTGCTTTTTATCTAAAATGTGAAACACTAATCAATGTGTTACCAAAAAGGGGGGAAAATGTTGTAAAATGGAAGTTGGTGATGTATATTGTATGACCATTTGTAAATTAAATGGTGGATCATAACAGAATCATTATAACAAAAGTTGTTTGAGGGTAATATAGTATTTTGTATAGTCAGTTATATGTAAAATAAAAAACAAATTCCAGTAAGAAGTTAACCCGGTCGTTAGAACTTCTAACTCATTCAACTTCTAACCCAGTCAGCTTTAACTCAGTTAACAACTATCAAACGACCTCTGAATCTTGTCTGAGACATAGATAAATTTAGGAGTAGTTTAGGAATATTTTGTATTTGTTGTTTAAATAAATAAATAAATAAAAATAAAATATAGGCTATATAATTTTTTTTTATCTTAGGTTCAAAGATAAATCGGTAAATGGCAAAGCCATTATTCATATGAGATTGCTTTTTTATTCCTTACCTGTTTATTATGAAAGGAAAGTTAGGTAGAAGATTACCCGTATTCTTTATTTTTTTGTCTTCTTTATGCTTTCTTCTATTAAAAAAATAAGAATTGCTATTTTTTTTTTCTCATTTTTTCTCATTTTCTTCATTTTCCTTTTCAATTTTCGAGAAGAATTCGAGACCACAACGTTTAGGGTTACTATCTAAACGAGTAATAGTCGCCTCAAGTATATTATTTTTCTAAAATTGGTTAATTTTTTATTTTTTTTATATAAACTAATTAATAGTAATATTTGATAAATTTTACATAGAAGAATTTATAGTTTTTAAATGGATTTGTTAATCTCTTTGGGATTTTCAACCAATTTCAATTGTAATCCAACCCATTTAATTAAATGGGTTAAACGAATCGATCCATTTAGTTAAATAGTTTGAAATCCCAATTAAGCCCACTAATTATTTGGTTAGATCGGTTTTTGTGAGCTCTAACAAGTTCTAACATGGGCATAAGCAAAGGTTTACGAGGTTGAATGTCCAAACAATAGGCTTAGGGGTTATTTGATTCTTATCATATATGTGTCACAACATTTTTATAATGATTATATAGAGCCTCCCAGTGTAATTGTACATGCATTGGCCAAATTATTATGCTCATGCAAATCGTTTTTTGCTCTCATTCTAAAGAATGAAGAGACCACAAATATCTTATTTGTTGATGGAGTAATGATCACATCCATTTTTGCCTTGTTTTAGCGCGAATTGTACCAGTATAGTGTGGTTGACAGAATGGTCAACTTTTACGTTTATGGTTTGGTTATTGTTCTCTTTCTTGATTAGGTTTTTTATATAGTGTATAAATCTATTCGGGTTTTTATGTTTAACATTTGCCCGTTGTGGTTGCATATCTATGATTTTTGTTGTTTTTCATTAGCTGGAAAGTTTTTATGGTTTTTATTGTACATATAGAGAGCCATATATATATATGCATGGTTTATTATTTAAGTAATAGAATATGATTTTAATTTCCCTTTTTCTACTTGTGCCCAAATTAAAGAAATACTTCTTGGACAATGATTTCGTAAATACATTTATTAGGATTTTGTAAAAAGTATATCCTCTTTAATAAATAAAAATAATTTAATCATTTGTTATTTTTTCATAATTTTCAATTTTTTTTCTTATACTCTCTAAAAATGACATGTGTACTTTTGACACTTGTCATTTTATCATAATTTTTAATTTTTTTAAACAATTTATGTTGATTAAAAGGTGTATAATCCGGATTTTGGATTTAAATTACTCTCCTTTTATAAATCCTTATTTTCTCATGTTTCCATTTATATCTCATTAATTTGCTCAACAATTTTCCAAAATCTCTCATTGTTTCTTAATTATCGTTCAATTTCAGCCTCATAATTACCTCTTATATGGATTTCAATTTAGAAGTCGATCAATCACCCGATTTCGGTGTTGTTGTAGGACTAGAGATTTTATTATTATTATTATTATTATTATTATTATTATTATTATTATTATTATTATTCATATATACCTTCTTTACTTTGATATTCTTATATTTTATTATCCATTTTCAATTTTTGATTACCATTTTTAGCGACTTCAAGGCAGGGGCGGTGACTACATTTAAACAAATCTTCTTGTACTTCTTCATCTATGTTTGTATCATCCCGTGTCGGGTTTGCATTTTGTGATTTGGAATGACCTCCCGTCTCCCAAATAAAGAACATTGCAAAAGATAACCAGAAACTGTAACACTCTATTTCAAGTTGTTTTTTAATTTGGGGTCGTGACTCGAAAATCAATTGTCGTAAGGCTTTGGGAATTGAGAAAGAGAGGTTTAGACCCATCTGGATGTGGCTAACGTAGATTATGTGATCCAATAGTTCGGTTTGTGCTTTGGAGCCCAAGGGTATAATGGTAAAAGTGATGGCTCAGATCTTTCATGTATAAAGGATTTAAGTTCGAAAGGTTTTGAGGTAAAGGAGAGTTGATAGGAGTGTAGCGCTTCTCATTACCTTTTCGAGAATACCAAGAATGCCGAAATCGGAGTCAGGACGAAGAAGTTATGACTTTCAGAATATAGGAAGAATATGGTCTAGTCAAGTACGTTGGGCGTACTAGGTTCTTGTGGCCAACCTAATATGCTTGGCGTATGGCCGCCAGACTCAAACCTTAATTTTTAGGGTTTAGGACATATTTAAACATCTTAACTCATGGAAACCCTCCCCTTATTCAGCCTTTATCCCTCTCAACCTATGATTTCGAAACCCTAGCCCCTTTGAGAGCTTTCTTGACCTTTTTGGGTGTTTTGCTGCACTTTAAGAATGAAGAATTCATTGGATAAGAGTTAGATTGCTTAGAGCTTGTAGATCCTAGCGTGGTTCTCCTTATTGCATCTTCTGAAGGTAAAAAGTATCAAACTTGATGGTTCATTTGTTAGATCTTGCTAGTGAGTGGGTTTTTTGTGCTTTTTGGTCTCATTAGTTGATTCTTGAGAATAAATGCCATTCCAGAAGTTTTAGATTGTGTATTTTGATGTTTTGAGGTCCATTGTTCATAAAGTTTGCATCTTGATAGTTGTGGACCAATCATACATGAGTTGTTGACCTTTTGGTGAAGCTAGTAGACTAGATTTGGGTTTTGGGTTTCTTGGAGCCATGCAAAGGCATCAACTTGATGACTTTATTAATTAAGATATACGTTAGAATTATATTGAGCCTTAGATGTAAAGTTTTAAAGGATTAAGCCCTTTTAAGTGAATCCTTGGTCATTTTGTTATGCTAAGAAGCTTAAGTTTGGTGTTGGGCTTTATTAAGTCATGTTAGGTCATAAAGTCAGGAACTTTATGACTCTAGACGTCCATTAGGCTTGAACCTGAGGATGTCGACATCTGGTCTTAAAAGAATAAGACCTAAAAATGGAGTTTTTGGGTTTCAGCATCGTACGTCGGACGTATTGGGTTAGTACGCAAGGCGTACACACCAAGGTGCCATAACGGGCCATTTTTGGGCCTTGGGTCATTTGGGATGTTTGCCAGGAGTTTTTGGGTCAAATGCGGGTAGGGTAAAATAGTTTTTTACCCATTGATATGATAGAGTATGAATTGGACTATGGACTATGAGTAATTGCCTTAGTTATTAATTAGGGATAATTTGGATGTGTTCAGCATGAAGAGCCCGGTAGCAGCAACACGTATGGTTTGGTTATCTCTAGATTGAGGTGATTCTTCTTACTATATTGTAGGACACTAGGTGTTGTATGCGCTTATTGTCTTTGTGACTCTTGATGTATGCTTTTATACCTGTTTGCTATATGTATGTGGGGTGAAATAGGCCCTTACGATTGAAAAATACCGATTTAGTTGAAATAAACTCGGGGGTGAAATAGACCCGGTGGTGAAATAGACCCAGTACACCCTTGAGCTGACATTTAAATTGAAGTAGACTCGAGGGTTAAATAGAACCGGGGGTGAAATAGACCCGATACAGGCTTGAGCTAACGTATATGTATGATATTCGGTATTTTGAAGAACTCACTAAGTTTCGTGCTTACCGTTTATGTTTAAAATGCTTTCAGGTACTTCTGGTTTCAAAAGGAATGATCATCTTAATCGCACTGCATCCCTTGGAGATTTATTCTACATTGACTGTTTATGAGAGAGAGAGAGAGAGAGAGAGAGAGAGAGAGAGCATTGCCAGTTCATCCCTACAACATTTGTGTAAGCATGATAACCAATGAGTAGGTTTCGAGGATTTAGGGATGTAAATGAGTGAGGGAATAGTACGAAATGCAATCCGGTCCATTAGACAGAGATTCTCAAAGATCATTTTATAAATATTTAGAAGTCCAAGTATCTAATTTTAAGTTATATATATAAGTTATTTTATCATCTCTCGCTTAAACAATTTTTGTGTATGTTAATGGAAGGACTAGCTTTAAAAAAATCAATTATTTATAAATACTTATATCATTTTCACATTATAACCCTATTCACGAAGGAACACACGCATATACGTAAAAACTACATCATAAAAGCCCAATAGTTGCAAGACATCGAGAACTTTCGAGTTAGAAATATAGCATAAAATATAAAAGGTCAACTACCCATTCTGGATAGTTGGATTAACTTGTTACAACGTTGACTAAACCATAACTTAGGTCGAGGAGTATTATATGAATCCAACTTCTTAGCAATGTGGGATAAAATGAATATTATAATTAAGCAGAAACGCATGCAATCAAGATACGTTAACTACCGTTTTTTAAGGTCAAGAATCATAAATTTCTAAACACAAATCGATCAAGATGGGCAGGTAAGAAGTGAAACTTTTAAAGACGACATTGAAAAAAAAAAAAAAAACTTACAACCCAGTAAGGTATGTTGTGAACAGTCTCAGTGATAGCAAGCCAAATGACACCATAACCGAAGAAAGAAGCAAGAACACCGACCAAAAGAACAACCCACGGTGGGTGCTTATTAGATGCGATGCCCGGAAGTATACCAACATTTTCTCCGATATCATTAGCAACACCGAGAATGGTAAGCTGTTGCTGAGAGAGACCCAGTACAGATTTCAGAGTGTGAGAATAAAGAGGGAAGGCATAGGCGTTGCCGGAGGCCATCTGGACCCAAACAGCGGCGGCAATACCCACCCATGGTGGCCGGCTTCCAGCTTTTAAGGCCGGCATAGTGTGTATATATACCGTTGGATTCAGATACTATCTGTTACTGTCGTTTTGCTAAAACAGTGATATTGAAGAAGAGTATGATCGCAATGAAATATCTACTCAAATGGTTATGAGGAGAAGAGGAATCAAATATCGACAAAAAAGTCAGCTTAATTTTATGTGTTTGTCCTGCTTTTAATTTCCCTTTTATACAAGATCTGCCCAAATTAAGTCAATCAATTAATTATTAGGATCCTGTGAAAATATTGTATGAAAATATTGTAACAGATTACCTTTTTTTTATTCATAATATTTTTAATTATTTTATATAATATATTTAAATGTTCTATTAATATAATATTAAGTAAACCCCTTGAAATCTTAATTGTATCCACATTAACTATTATTATTATTTTTAGATTTATTTTTACTTATTATATTAGTATTACTATTAAATGTAGTATTATTTTATTTAATAGTAATAATATCTTATTATTATTATAATAATGGCTATTTTTATATTTATTGTTTTTGTTATTATTGTTATATTATTATTATTTGTTTTATATATAATTTTATTTTTTGGTTATTAATTTAGTTTTATAAGTAACTTATTTCTATGAAAAAGATTATGATATGTATATGGCTATTTTTTTCTGTAATATTTCAGAAAATATTTTTTTAAATGTGGTCAAATTTAAAAGGTTAAAATGTAAATTATATTTTATTATAAAGCACAACTATATTTATAGAATTTCCAATTGTTAAGCTCACAAAGATTTATTATTTTCGGCGCATCATTTATTTATTAACTTTTATTTAATAAAAAGCTTTTAGTATATGTAAGTTTTTTCTCAATCTAAATAATTTATCCTTTATCCATATTGAATGTTAAATTAAACCATCTCGTATAATTTATAATTTATCATTGTCTGATAATTTTTCTAAACCATAGAAGATTATAAAGCTATAAAAATGCTAAAGTATTACGTGACCGAAATGTTTTATAATATTTGATATTTTTAATTTTGACAATTTTGACAACTATTTTTAAATTATGTAACCTTGCTAAATAGGATATTTATTTTTTAATTAATTCAATTGATTAACTAATAAAAATATCATGATATTTAAATTGTTGAATTAGGTATTTAAGCTCACAACAATAATTGGTATATACTTAAATTAATAATAGTACAGTTTTTTTAGATTGCCCTTAAACCTAACAATTGGATATGATGACTTTTAAAGAGAGAGATTAATTTATTATTTGATTAATAAATTGAAATAAGAAGTTTATTAATATATTATTAAAATAATATATTTATTAGAAAAGTTATTATTTAATGAATTTGATCAGAAATTAATTAAAACTAATTTTAGGATTAATAAAATTAATTAAAAATATAAAGTCTGAAGTATAATTATTCAATAGTTGAGCAAAATATTTCAGAACCTTTCATCTTAAGGGTTGGATGGTTTTTAAGGATATTTTAGGGTTTCTAGAATATCTCATGTGGACAATAAGGAGGTAGATAAAGACCAAATTTAAAATATTAATTAAATATTTAAATTAGAATTATCTAGGGTTTCCTATTCCCACTATAATAAGATCCTAAGGCCTTCATTTTTTTAGCCACTCTATTATTCCAAGGGTTGGGCGAAAATCTATTCTTCTCTCTTGTCCTTCAAGTTGTCTTCTTACTAGCTTGGGTGTGATTTCATTAGAGGCACGACATTTGTGGTGCTAACTTCCAAGAGATCTACAAGTGAAGGATCATTGTTATTTACTACAATAACAATAAGGTATGTAATTCTAAATCTTCTTTTGGTATTTTCGAAAATAGCCTATATCATCTAGGGTTTCTTATTTGATATTCATAGTTATTGCTTCAATAGTGAAAACATATATCCTTAGGTTGCATGTGAACTTAAGGGTTTTAAGTTTATTTGTTTTGCATAAAACCTATCAGTGATATCAGAGCGTTCAGTTTGTTTTTAATTGAACATATATAATTCTTGAATTAGATCAATTAGGGTTAATAGAAATTAAACCCTAAAATGTCAAGAATTTCGACTAGGGTTAGGTTTTTTCGAAACCCTAGCCCATTCCCCTTGGATTTCGAAATTATGGTTAGGGTTTTGAAACCAGAACACTAATAGGGACTAATAAAGAGTAGTAATGGGTATCTCATAAATAATCATTGTTGATGGAGCATGTGTGGTTTACCAACACATCAATTGGATGATAAATGAAAATAAGGTTACCAAACACATTTGCATGGTTATTCACATATTGTTTGTGATCCTTGGTATCCCAATCACAAATAGAAGAGCATAATTTGAGACTAAATATGCCATTGAATATTTTTCAATGAATCTTAAAAGACCTAGGAATTTCCCTTAATTTCATTTCTTTTCTGGTGGAATTGGTAAATCGTCATTTACCTACCTTTATAAAATTTACAATTAGATTACAACATCCATTTTCTAAGTTGTGAATTATATAGTTGCGTCCTACCCTTAATATTTTATTTTGGGTTCCTATCTTAAGGATTATTCTTATCTAACTAAAATTACCTTCCTTTTACATATGTCTACTCCAGCTGATGCTTCTGCTTCCTTGTAACACCCGAATTGCCAAGTAAAAACTCTTCCAATTATTTCAATTATTCTGGGACTAGACTTGAGTATGCTGGGCGTACAAAAGGTATGCACGAAATACTCCTACGCATGCGCGAAGAGGGGATGTCCCCTATGTATGATGGGCATAACCATGCGTACACAAGCCAGGGGAAAACCTTAATTTTTAGGGATTGCACCATATTTAAGCTCATTAACCCCCCTAAGTCCTTTACCTTGTCAGCCCTCATTGCCTTTTTGAGCTAATATCGAAACCCTAGCCATCTTGAGAGTATTCTTAAGCTTACAAAGAGTTTTTGGGTGTTTTATTGTGATCTTGAAGAAGAAGAAATCTTGAGGAGAAGAATTGGACAAGAAGGTGCTTGTAGATCCAGAGGTTGTTCATCATTTTAGCTAATTGGAGGTATAAAGTCTGAAACTTGTTCATTCTAAGTCTAGATCTAAGTTTGGAGTAGAACTTAGCATATTTTGGTCCCATAACTTTGGTCTCATGGAGTATGGACTATTCCAAACCATTTGAGCTGTCTTTTTGGGCTCTTAGGGGTGCATGAAGTTATAAAAATCAGATATTGGAGGTTACAACTCAACCATGCATGAGTTGGTGACCACCTAAGGGAGATAAAAGGCTTAATTCATGGTTTGAGTCCCATTAAGTCATGCAAAAGCATAAAGTTTGTAACTTTATGGCTTAATGTACTCTAATGAACTTGGATCTAAAATTGGAGTGCATTAAGCCATAAAGTTTCAAATTTATGGCTTAATACACTCTAATAAACTTGGATCTAAAATTGGATGTTAGGTCTTAATTGATTAAGACCTTAGAAGGTGGATTTGGCCAGCTGCAACATACGCCGGTCGTTCCTAGACGTGCACTACATGTACGCGTCTGAGGTCCCGACTGTACAAGGGTTGTAAGTACGTCAGGCGTACTATTGGTACGCTGAGCGTACTCATCAGATAGGATTTTGGGATTTTTAGCCTTAGGCCATTTCAGACTTATGGACTTGGGCCTTTGTTGGGCCACAAGCTTTTCAGTAATGGGCCTTGTTGATCTTGGGCCCATTTTAGATATGGTCTATCTTTTGGGCTTTGGGACTAATTGTATTTGGGACTTGGTGGGTTAGGCCCAATAAGGCAAGGATTAAGCATCCTTTTTACATTTGAAGTCGGGATTTAGGGTTTGGACTTGCAGGTTGGATTATTAACCTAAGTTATAATTAGGGTTTCTTTACTTGTGATTTAGTAAGAGGATTTCACGAGTCAAAAGCTTGAGTGTGATTCGATATCTTTAGTTTTAGGTGAGTTTACTTCACTATATCTGTGGGTCGAAGGCACAAATGTTGGCCCACTAGATTATGTTTGTAGTATGATAATTACCTGTTATGTCTGTATCTGCTTGATGTCTCTATGACTCATTGTTATGATTATATATGTTAGTGGTAGGGGTGAAATAGATTTGATACCGGTTGAAAGATACTGAAGAGGGTGAAATAGACCTAGTATCGGTTGATAGATACCGAAGGGGGGTGAAATAGACCTAGTACCGGTTGAAAGATACCAAAGGGGGTGAAATAGACCTAGTACCGGTTGAAAGATACCAAAGGGGGTGAAATAGACCCAATATGTTTTTGACTATTATATATGTATGGTATGGGGTATTTTTGGGGAACTCACTAAGCACCGTGCTTACGGTTTTTAGTTTATGTTTCAGATACTTTCACTTCGAAAGGGAAGTGTCTGGCCTGATCGCACTACATCCACCTATGTTTTTCTGTATCATGTGATTTTGTACTCTGATAATATTTTATTATGACATACTTTTGACAGTTTGATGTGATTAATGTACGATTGGAATGAATTTTAAAACAAAAATTTTATCTTAATTTTTGGGATGTTACAAGTTGGTATCAAAGCTTTGGTTTGAGGGATTCGTGCATACTCTCGGGTATGCCCGAACTCAAATTGAGGATTTGACAGATTTTCTATAAAAAGAAAGATTTTAATTAAGGAATATTAAATTAAAGAAAGGGGTGTGATGCGTGCAATTAGCCAAGCTCAAGCAAGTCTTCCCACAATACCCATAGATGTTATATGTTTTACGCTATGATATAAGAATTACATGCTAGATTAGGTCTAAGGATATGCTTATTATTGCATGATAGAATGCTAGGAGAGATGACTTTTTTTCCTATCGTATGAGCTTATAGATTACATGCTAGTATGAGATCAGTTATCTAATAGGATGGCCTATTCAGGTTTTGTTCTGATTTGAGTTGCTTGATGCTCAAATGTTGCGTGCTTTATGCTTTTAGGAATTTTAATAGTACCATATGACTAGTGGATGAATGTGTTTGATTACATATTCTTGGGATTAGAAC